ACGATCAGAAATAGTGGTGCATGGCATCCCATGTAGCCGCACCACCTCTTTGAAGAACATATCTGCTACATTGATAACATCGTCAATTTTATGGCATGGAATGAAATGTGTCATCTTTGAAAATCATTCCACCACCACAAAGATAGAATCTCGACTTCTCTTCATCCTTGGCAACCCCAATACGAAGTCCATATATATGTATATATATATGGTGCCTTCTAAGGTACTCCGGGTGAAATCCGGGGTATTGCATACCTTGAGTATGAAAACACTATCTAGACCTCGATTTAGCAGGATTTTTGGGCATGATATTATAACCTAACCCTTAATGAGTGTACCCTAGGTCCTAATTAACTAAATCATAAACTATAAACTCTAAGATGGTGCATTTATTTTTTTTGCCTATATTTGGACGAATCATAACCGTCGATTATTGTTTCTAATTAAATTGATCTTGGGGTATAAGATTTAGTGAATTAAGACCTAGATGTTGATCTTTAAGGGTTAGAATATATTATCATGTCCGAAAGATTAGTTAATTCAAGTTTTGGATAGTGTTTTCTTACTCAAGGTATGCGGTACCCCAGATTTCACCCTGGGTACCGTAGAACTCCCCAGATTTCAACCCACGACAATGATAGAATGGGTAGTGGAGTGTAAAATAAAGATGATTGCACCTTCGATTTAGCTTGCTTGCACTTAGGGATGGCAACAAAACCCGAACCCACGGGTACCCACCCGACCTAACCCGGTAAACGCGGGTAAAACCGTGTTGACGGGTTTTAGGTCGAGTTCAGGTTTAAACCCGTTCACCGTTCACCGGGTTGGGTTTGGGTTTAGGTAAACCCGCCCCATGGGTACCCGCCCATACCCATATAATTAATTTTCTCGGTATATTTAATATTCTAAACAACTAATCTTATTTATGTTTGTGGAGACATGTCTAATTTTTTCTTTCTAATTGTGTAGAATGAAGTTGATATTATCGAGTGGAGAGTGAACAAACTTAATTGACAATGAGGAAGAAGCTTTCAATTAATCATGTTATTTATGGATAATTTGTGATTTGCATCAATTTTCTTGAGTTTTCTAGATTGGTATTGAACAATTTGTATAGTTAATTTGTAATTTGTTTGAAGTTTCTAGAATGATGTTTTATATATGAATACTTTGTATTGAGAGATTGATATTTTATTTTAATTTTGATAGGAACTTTTTATTGTAATTTTTTTACGAGAAAACCCCGTGGATACCCAGCGGGTTGGGTTGGGTTTGAGTTTTTCAAACCCAATGGGGTTTACCCCTGATTTTTTTCACGGATAAATCCATGGGTTTGGGTTTGGCAAAACCCGACCGAACCCGACCCATTGCCATCCCTACTTGCACTCCACGCATCTAGCACATAAGCTCTCCATATCGCTTTTCATACGTGACCAATAGAAGTGCTCTTATAAGCAACTCAATGTTTTGGCTACACCAAAGTGTGCCGTCAATCCTCTTCCATGAGCTTCTCGTAGTAGCAACTCTCGAAGTAAAGTACGTGGTATGCAAAGTTTATTACCACGAAACAAGTATCCTTCATGCCGATAGTACTTCCCTTCTCCATGCTTCTCACATAGCTTGTAGATCTCTCTAAAATCAGGATCCTCCTCATAGATGCCTCTGATTTGCTCGAACGCAAGGTACCTTGCATCCATGGTAGTGATCAACGTGTATCTTCTCGATAAGGCATCAACAACTACATTCTCCTTGCCTTGTTTGTACTTGATCACATAAGGAAACGATTCAATGAACTCCACCTAACGAGCATGCCTCATGTTCAACTTAACTAACAAGAAATAAGTAAAAAAAATCCTTAAGTCGTGCAGAGCAGCAGAATTACTCTATCAACTAGGGTTGGGAAAATAGTTGCAGTATTGCAGTTAACCGCAAACCGCAAAAACATCCTATTTTGCTGTCGCGGTTGGAGATATTGGTTGTTTTGCGGTTTGCGATTTAACCGCAACCTAAACCGCAAATAGCTCTAACCGCAATGCTAACCAACCCAGCCCCACCCCAGCCCAACCCAACCCGACCCGACCCTTTCCCCCACTTCCCCACTTTGGCTTTGCGAATTGCCGAATCGCAATTCCATTTCCCACTTTGAAAGACTGAAAACCCTAACCCAGCTACCCTAATCTCCCACCGTCAAGAGCCCTGAGAGTTGAAAGAGAGTGGAGAAGTCGATCGATGGCAAGAAAATCCCACCACTGGCGTCCCTTATCGCTGTCGGCTGTCGCCCTCGCAGCGGTAGGCTCGATTCTCGACCTTCTCTTCTGCTCTGCTCCATTCGCATCTGCTTCTGCTCCATTCGCATATGCTTCTGCTCTTCTCATCCCCTCTCTGCTCGTCGACCTGCTCTGTTTGATGACTCAGGCTACACTCTCTGCTCGTTGCTCTCCACATCGGCTCTACTTGTCGGCCGTCGATCTCCAGTCTCCACATCTGCTTTGCTGCCCCGCTGCCATCCCTTGCGGTTTTTTGCTTAACCACGATTATTCACAGTGTTGCGGTTAGTGGTTAACCGCTAACCTTATAAGGCGCGATTGCGGTTGGTGAATAGGGTATTTTGCGGTTGCGGTAAACCGCGAATTGCAGTGCAGTTAACCGTAACCGCACCGTTTCCCACCCCTACTATCAACTATCCTCTATCTCAGGAACCCCTCCTCCCCCCACCCTCTAAAAAAAATTAAATACAAAAGGTCCATATCGTCCCATGTATTAATTTAGTAAATTCGAGGAAGGATTCTTTTGTACAGAATCAAGTCAATTTTCAGAAATTTCATCGTATCATAAATAAGAAAAACTTATAAAAAATGCGGGAGAGAGAAAAAATATGCAGACTCCTTTGTCTGTTTGGTTGGTCAAACATGGACAAGTTCATAGAATTTTGGCATTCCATTGTTATCATTTTATATGTATATGGTTACAATTATCTGCGTTCTCAATGTCGGTGGCAGGGCCACGTCCCCGACGACTGATCGAGCTCCATCAGCAACGTTTCCGTCCCTCCAGGAACCGCCCATGCTAATGACCGATGTCGCCTTCTCCAAGGACACGATCCTCGCCTGGTTCCGTGGTGAATTTGCCGCCGCGATTGCAAGCATCGATGCATTTTGCGAACACCTCGCGCAGCTCGACGGAGGCGGATTGGAGTACGATTTTGTCTTCTCCGCCATCCACAAGAGGCGGCTCAACAGGATCTCCATCCTTGAATAGATGCATAAGTACCACTCCATCACCAACGTGGCGGTGGAGCTCATGCGAGTCACGGAGCGGAAAGTACTAGACAAGAATGACGAGATTGAAGGCCAGAAGAGGACTAATCAGTTGGAGGAGGCTTGTGTGCTGGTGGTGGAGGAAGAGGAGACCACCGCCGTAGCCGATGAAAAAATCTGCGTTTGATTTGGCAATTCAAAGAGAGTTTTGCATCTGGAAAATTCTTGTACCGAGAAGCCCATCAATACGAGGTATTTGGCGGATCAAGATAATCGTTGAGGAGAGGACACGAAGTTCTTGGTCCTTGTCTTGAGCGGATGATTGTTATTGGACTATCCAAGTACCACATCAGAAATACAAGGGAATGGACCCTTGTATATTAGTGTCCACCTAGTCCAATTTGTACGAGGCCTTTTGGGGATGACACTCAAGAGTAAAATCGTGCGGGCTAGGCCCGAAGCAGACAATATCGTACTAATGGGGATGACTATAATTTTGATAATTCTTAAAATCTTCCGTCGTTGTAGCAACGAAGAGTTACCTGGGACGTGTTTAATATATATATTTTTGTAACTTTATTTATATTAGTTGAAAAATTAAAAAAAAATTAAGATTTAAAATTTTATATCAAATGCAACGTCACATATTTAATCGTCAAACATAACTATTAACCGCCACGTAGGATAGATTTAACCGAATTAGACTGAGAGTGACCACGGATGACATTAATGTATAGTGTTGATGGTTAAATTGAAGGGAAAATTGTTCGAGTGGCAAACGATAACAAACATGTAATATGAGTGACCAAACTTGCAACTGCTATATATGTATTACTGATATGCAGTGGATGAGAGTAAGAGAGAGCGCTGCATAAATATTGTTGAATATAAATTCTAGATTAAAGAGTTTTGTCTCTTCTGTGGACTACTCCCGATTTTGGGGAAACCACGTAAAATTTTTGTGTCTCAATGAGATTTATATGTATCCGAAGATGGTTTGTCTTCAATGTTACTTGCTCAAATCCTCATCACAACCCTTAATGTTACTTGTTGTCTTAAACACATGATATTGCGGGTATGTACAAACTTCAAGTCATGAGTTGATTTTCGTTTGTGTTGGCGGGCATGTAAGAAAGTGATTAAATATCATATATGGACATCTTGCAATATCTCAATTTATCGAGATCAACTGCTACATGACAACATACTATACATGAACCACTTGCAATAACTCAATTTATCGAGATCAACTACTACATGACAACAAACCATACATGAACCACTTACAATAACTCAATTTATTGATATGAACTGATAGCTTAGCTAGCAAGTGCTCTGCAATTTTTAGGTTGAAGGAGATGGATTTCCTCACTTGTTCTGAAAACTAAAATACCTACTGCTGGAAAATGGAAATCGAACTTATTTCAGAGGAAAAACCAAAACCAAAAATATCTAGAAAACTTTCTTTTATATCATCTCCCAGCTAAGTTTGTCTTGGCCAAATTCATTGTCCATTATTATTGTGGACTCCTCCCACTCCAGAGTTGTCCCAAAAGAACCCCACACCACTTGCCTCCCTCTCTCTCTCACGCCAACCATTGAGCCTCCTCACCAACTTGGCTATCCATCCCCTTGACTCTTCCTCACACATGGACCAATTTATATAAACTTACTACACTCTCCTCTATCCACAACAACTACAATTCACTTCTATCTCGTCTCTTCTTCCTTCCTCCATTGTCCATGGCGGCTTCTCCACTTCCAAAACTCTGCTCACCATGGCACCAACTCTTCCTCCTCACCACCACCACCATAATCTCCCTCTCCATCATCACCTCCTCATCACAATCCCACTCCACATACATAATCCACATGGACCTCACCGCCATGCCCAAACCTTACACCGACCACCACACCTGGTTCCTCGCCGCACTCTCCTCCCTCCCGCCTCCATCCACCCACATCTACACCTACACCGACTCAATCCATGGCTTCGCCGCCAAGCTCACCGATCCACAGCTCCACGCCATCAAATCCCTCCCTGGCTACATCTCCTCCACGCCCGACCGCCAGCTCCACCTCCACACCACCCGCTCCCCTAGTTTCCTCGGCCTCGACTCCCTCTCCCAAGCCTTCCCCGCCGCCAACCGCGGCCACGACGTCATCATCGGGTTCATCGACACCGGCGTCTGGCCCGAGAGCGACAGCTTCCGCGACGACGGGATGTCCAAGATCCCGTCGCGATGGAAAGGGAGATGCGTCCCGGGGACACAGTTCAACGCTTCCTTGTGCAACAAGAAACTCATCGGTGCTTCCTTCTTCAACAAGGGTTTGCTGGCCAGTCTCGGAGGAGGCAACTTCTCCGTCTCGATGGACTCGGCCCGCGACACCGACGGCCACGGGACCCACACGGCGTCCACGGCCGCGGGGAGCCACGTGAAGCGCGCGTCCTACTTCGGATATGCGCCCGGGACGGCGAGGGGCGCCGCCCCGCGAGCTAGAGTGGCAGTGTACAAGGTTGCCTGGGAGTTCGGCACCTTTTCCTCCGACGTCGTCGCCGCCGTCGACCAGGCGATTCGAGACGGCGTCGACGTGCTGTCTGTGGCACTGGGACTGGCGTTGTACGACGAGACGTTGGTGGAGGACGTGGTCGCGACGGCCACCTTCGCAGCGGTGGAGCGCGGCATATTCGTCGCGGCTTCGGCCGGGAACTCCGGCCCGTCGTACGCCACCGTGATCAACGGCGCGCCGTGGCTGACGACGGTTGGAGCCGGGAGCATCGACAGGAGGCTGGGCGGCGTTTTGAGCTTGGGAAGCGGGAAGAACGCCAAAACGGTGCCGTTTCTATCGTTATACGCAGGTAATTTTTTTATAAGGATAATATATGTATTTTGTTTTTTCAAATTAAAAGATACGAGACCTCCAATTTAAAAATCAGTAATGATACCACTAAACGAAGTCATTGTACAAATACGTAGGTAACTTCTCTGCCACGTCACATGCCATGGTGTTTCTCGACGCATGTGCGAGCGTGGACGATATGATGAGAAATAGAAACAAGATTATCGTCTGCAGGGACAACTTCAGCATCGGCACACAGACCCAGAACGAGAACGCCCGCGAAGCGAACGCCACGGCCGTGTTCATTACCGCCATGGCCGTGCCCGACTACTACATGAGGAACTTCATTCCCGCCGCCTACGTGGACTTGAAGCAGCACGGCAACATCGTGACGGATTACATAAAGTCGAGTCAAAGTCCAAGAGGAAGTTTGACTTTTCGGAAGACAACGACCGGGTCAAAGCCGAACCCGAGGATTGACCAGTTCAGCGCGAGAGGCCCACTGCCCAACTGCCCGACCGTCTTAAAACCGGACATCATAGCACCCGGTTCGTTCATCCTGGCATCCTGGTCCCCGACCAGTTCGGTCGTCGAGATGCGTCCGCCAGAATTCAGCACCCCGACGTTCAGCCCGTTTCAGATCATGTCGGGGACCTCGATGGCCGCGGCCCACGTGGCCGGCGTGGCTGCGCTGATCAAGAACGTGCACCCCGGCTGGAGCCCCGCCGCGATTCGATCGGCTCTGATGACCACAGCCAGCTCGGTGGACAACGCTGGAGGGCAGATCGGGGACGCTTCGAACTACACCGACCCGGCCGACCCATTCGGGTTCGGGTCGGGCCACATCGTACCGGTCAAGGCGGTCGACCCGGGACTGGTTTACGATGCCACGACGGATGACTACGTCCGTCTCCTCTGTGCGATGAACTTCACGGCGAGTCAGATCCGAGTCATCACCAGATCGTCGGCTCACAAGTGCGGCGGTAATGGGTCGGAGGCGGCGGACCTCAACTACCCTTCTTTCGTTGCCTACTTCAATGATTTCGGGCCGGGTTTGGAACCGAGGGTGGTGGTTTATGAGTTCAGGAGGATCGTGACCAATGTCGGAGATGGAGCGGCTAGCTACACTGCGAAGCTGAGTGCGATGAAGGGCGTGGTGGTGAAGGTGGAGCCGGAGAAGTTGGTGTTCGGGAAGAAGGGCGAGAAGCTGAGTTACAAGCTGACGGTGGAAGGTCCGAAGCTGTTGAGTGAGTTTGTGGTGCAAGGGTCGTTGAGTTGGGTTCATGATGGAGGGAAGTATGTGGTGAGGAGTCCAATTGTGGCCACAAATCTCGTCCCAGTCTCGCCTTTTAGTGGTAACTAATAGTACGCTTTGGAGAAATTCCAATAATCCATGGCTTTTAGAGCTTGGAACCCTTTGGGGTTTTTTGTTTTGTTTGTTTTTGTTTCTGTGTCACAGATGCCTACGATGAAGAACATTGAATAGGGATGGCAACAAAACCCGAACCCACGGGTACCCACCCGACCCAACCCGGTCAACGCGGGTAAAATTCGCGTTGACGGGTTTTGGGCCGGGTTTGGGTTTAAACCCGTTCACTATTCATCGGGTTGGGTTGGGTTTGGGTTTAGGTAAACCCGGCCCGTGGGTACCCGCCCACTCATATAATTAATTTTTCGGTATATTTAATATTCTAAACAACTAATCTTATTTATGTTTGTGGAGACATGTCTAATTTTTTCTTTTTAATTGTGTAGAATGAAGTTGATGTTATGGAGTGGAGAGTAAAGAAACTTAATTGAAAGGAAGAAGCTTTCAATTAAACATGTTATTTATGAATAATTTGTGATTTGCTTCAATTTTCTTGAGTTTTCTAGATTGGTGTTGAACAATTTGTATAATTTATTTGTGATTTGCTTGAATTTTCTAGAATGGTGTTTTATATATGGATAATTTGTATTGAGAGATTGATATTTAACTTTAATTTTGATAAGAACTTGTAATTGTAAATTTTTTACGACAAAACCCGTGGGTACCCATGAACCCGCGGATACCCAACGGGTTGGGTTGGGTTTGAGTTTTTCAAACCCAGTGGGTTTTACCCCGGGTTTTTTTCAAAGATAAACCCATGGGTTTGGGTTTGGGTTTGGCAAAACCCGACCCAACCCGACCCATTGCCATCCCTCCGGCTTAAGGCTGCCTGCTTCTCCATTCAATAATAGTATGAATTGGCTTCACTTCGAGTTATGATTTTGGTTTTGATGATTCTTAAGGCAATAGCGGCTTTGGGTTTGCTCGAATGGGCATGGGAGTTTGGGCTAGGGGTGGATTTGGGCTTTGGGGTTTCTCATTCACCAGACCATATAACCGCAAATTTGGTTGAATAGATGGGAATCCAGTTTCTCGTTGCAATATGACCGGTTTCAACATTTGATTTTCTATTCAACAGAAAAATCGTGGCAGAATTCTAGCTCTCAAAATTGTGATTATCCATTAATATGATCAATCACCATGATGTAACCTCAACCACAATATGCATATTTCTAAAAACAAATTCGAGTCGTTTATGCAGTCGTTAATGGATTTTGTGGTCGAATTCACTAGATAGAATTTCTCAGTATAAAATATGAAAATCCTGTATATACATATATGTGCAACAAATTAAACGCAAAATTAGAGATGGAAAAATGTGTTAGTAAGTATACACTTAGAGTGTCTTGCTGACGACATATTTGAATTGGCTATGCAATCCAGTGCCGGCCCCGGTACCCCACACATTATCGCTAAAGTGTTGCTTACAAGACATAGGCCCAATGTCGATTGGCCGAAAGGAGTCGACTTGCTCACACCAGATGAACTAATGAACTGCGTTATTACTGTTAGTAGGCCTTTCAAGCCCATGAAATTCTCTCACAGAAAAGCCCATCAAGTTTTAGGGGACGATAGATGCTCCGTCACTAACAATATCATGGCGCCGTTAGCTAGTAACGGTGAATCACCGGACTCTTTTTCTTGATGTTTTCTTCTTCTGCGTTTCTTGGGTGGTCAACTCCGAGTCCCTGTTTAAAGGTCGTTACTCGTTACCTGGACTGGACTTAGTGGTCCTTTAGAAAGAGGGTCACGTTATATGAAAGCCTTTTTCCACAGATTGATTGCATGATTACTGCCGCGTGACTTGACAGATTAAAGGCAAAGGCATCATTATTCTTCTCTTAATCACGATCTTAACAGGCAACAAGTAATGATTAAAGTCAATGTGGTTTTGGCAACGGATTTCGCAGTTTTCTAAAAATGCCTGATTCATGATTTCCGTGCTTCCTTAAAATGCTTGATTCATCACAGATTTGCAATTATGAATTTGTGCCTAGTTTATAATTAGTACTACTGGGCAAAGGTCTAGACTACTATAAGTTCATTATACGCACACTCTAATACTCTATATATGAAGGGCTTCATAAGTTGAATTGAAATATGGTTGATACAACATGAAATAGCAATCAAGTTAATTTCTCGAATTGAAATATGGTTGAAACTAACAAAAAAACTACTTAATTTCTCGAATTTTAATAAATAAAGATCGAACGAGATACAACTCTATGACAACATACATAGTGGCAAATATGTTGGCACTGCCAGGGGTTTTCCTAAGTTGACATTTTTTCTAAGTTCAAGATTCAGGCTTCCAAGCAGAGTCAACTAATGCGGTGAGGTCATCTGGCACAGAGCCTTTGAATATTATGGGACATCCACGTAGGAGTCCGTTAATTGATCTAATCAATATATTATAGGATGAACCTTGTGGTGTTGATTAATTATGGCTATGTTGTTGCATATAAGAACGTTATTGAATAGTCATGGATCAATATTATCTTGTATATATAAACGAGACATGTATATTGATAGTTAAAGTCCTATTTGTGTTCAGCAATTCCTATTTTTGTTATAAAATGACACAAGAAATTCTTGATGGATTAAAAATTATGATGATTGAAGATAAAATTTCTCGCATATATAATACAAAACTTGAATCATTTTAATTCAAATTATTGCTTAAATAAAGCTATGAAATTTTTTATTTATTATACTTAATCAAATTGAATGATATCTCAATTTTAGAACAGGGCGTCCACTAGACTTGTTCCTAGAAAATATTTCAACGGAATGGCTCAAGAATACGCGGTCCACATTCGTACTCATCATATGTCTACCTAGTAAGCTCTTTACCTTTTGGTCCACTCTCGGTTCAATTTCTTCCATCGTTGGCGCTAGAGGTGGCAATTGGATTGGATTCGTGGATTGGATTGGTGGATCCATGGATCAAATGGATTGGATCCAATGGATTGGTGGATTCATGGATTGGATCAAATAGATTGGTGGATTGATCCATGAATCCAAATGACATCAAAGGCTTGGACCAAAATGTAAAATTTGAAAAGTTTAGGTACTAAAATGTCATAATGAAAAATTTAGGTGCCAAAATGTAATTTCCAATGATTTTTTCGTATAAAAATATAAATTTTAGGTACCAAAATGTAAAATATAAAAAATATAGGTACCAAATCGTAATTTGCCATTTGGATCCATGGATTGATCCATGAATCCACCAATCCAATTGGATTTGAATCAAATGGATTTGATTAGGTGGATAATTTGGTGGATGGATTGAATTCATGGATTTGGATTCTAATTGCCACCTCTAGTTGGCGCCTTAGCTTCTCCCTGATGATATGTAATGTTGGTTCTCTTACAGTACAGAGCTTTGAAATGTACGAACTATGACGAGGATGCTCTGCAGTGGTGTACGGATCGAAAGGAAACCGTACTAGGACTTTAATTTCCATGTGCTAGCTGGCTGAGAGGTTTCCCCTTCCATGATTATGCTAGCTTTAGGTCGACGATTGGCCGGTTGTGCACTCATGTTAGGTTTACGATCTCTCTCCGTCGCTGGAGCTCTGCACTCATGTTTGTCTTTGTCCAGTCAGTCATTAGAAACTAAATTACGAGATTATTGATATATGTATGTACGCCGCCGTAAGTAATATATGAACACTGTCTTCGATCTCTCTCATGATGAATCTGCATAGCTAGGTAGCGTAAAAGTAGTACTACTAGTACTACTACTGTAGCCGCATGCATGCATTTCGTCCCTTTCCTCGTAAACCCGAGAGAAGAACAAGCAGGAAAGGGACGAAGAAAGAAACCCTAGAAAACGGGCAAGAGAGATGAAGAAACCCTCACGTTCACAAAATTGGTCCATATATATATCTGTACTAAACCCTACCTTTAACAATCCTTTTGTTGCTAGAAATGATCTCCTCCATCAGCAGCAGTACCCACCTGTAGTTAAGCGAATTTGATGAAGTTTCACTCGCTAGTTCCATGGCCATATCTGTCATCCCACGTTACATTGCATAGCTATAGCTACGTATGAGTAGATGCATATATAATTAAGTAGCTGGCTAGAAACAAGCCTGGATATCAAAACAGATAGGTTTTTCATTCTGGAGCTCCATCTACTGACAAAAAAAGGGGTTTTCAGCAAAGATTTCAACAACATTCACAAGCAACCTTTCTCTCTCTCTCTCTCTGATCTCACAGACTCTTATTATTAAGTTATATCCGGCCGGCAGGCCGGCCATCTCTCTCTCTCTCCCTAAGTCGTCTCTCTTTCTCAAAGCTTCACCTGCTCCCCAACCCTACCCGTTCTTCCTTTGTCAGTTCCCCAGAAAGATAAGAAAGATAGGGAGGAAGGAACAGAGATTTCAAACCAGAGGGTAAAAAAAAAAAAAGGACGACAGGGGGGAAAAGGGGAAATCCAAAAGAGGAAAAGGATGTGAATTCAACAACATCAACACGACCGACCCAATATATAACATGGAAAATGAGAAATTGTGAGATGTGTTGCCTCGAAAAGGAGCTAGTTCAGAGCAGTGCACGTGTACAACACAACTCCACTACCCACCAACTCCCTCTCCCTCCCAAGATATCATCAATTCTCAAAATGGTTTTGTTTTATTGATAAGAGAGGGAGGGAGAAGGAGAGGGAGACACAGCAAATTGAAGCCCATACCTCAATGCTTTATTATCAACCAGCCTGCCTTTGGTTTCCTCTTCCTCTGGCCTCAATCCTCTCTTTCTCTTTCTCTTTCTCTTCTCTTCCTTTCCATTGCCATTTCCCTCGGCCTCGTAAATGGGTTCATTTCTCCTTCTTGCCTCCTCTTCCTTGAAACCGTCACCCTTTTTTTTGGGCCAGCTTTTATTGAAACCTTCCCAATCCAATCACCTCGCCCCTTTGACCCTCCCTTCAACTTTCTCCCACCCCAATTATCTATATTCAATGACTCGCGACCCACGACCCACCCTCTCCTTCTACATCAACCCATTATTTTTTTATGTTTATATGTGGAACTAAGAACAAAAACCCATGAAAAGAAGAAAGGGCAACTTCATCGTCCCTACAATTCATGGCCAACACACAAATTAAGGTTCAATACACCACCCATGTCCATCCTACTCATCTTGCCCCATATATGCTTACTTGATTTTATGATGTGAAATGCAGTCATACGATAGCTCAAGACCGTGTGATTGTTATAGCTAAGAAAAGAAATTTAATATGTTGAGGTTGAAGATTGCGGGGAAAAAAACGGAAGATATATAGAGTCATACATAGCGACAACTCAATTCAATGTGTGGGATTGACGAGTAAATGAAAGTATCAGTTACCTGATGTATCGTAAGACGTTTTCATCAATAATTAATATCAAACTACCACACATCTAGATCTATCTTAGTGGCTATGGGAAATGATTTCAGAGGAGCCATAAATAAAAATTACTAACAACAATGTGGTCTCCTAATATTGATCCAAGATCTAATAAACATGTCTTTTGGCTTTGGGGTTCTTTGGTTTCTCGTAGATGAGGAGGAGAAGAAGAAGGAACTAACTCTCTCATAATGTACTTGTTAAATTTGGAAGAAACTAATTAACTAACATGTAGTGCTACTAGATCATGAAGTTATAGTTAAAAAGACATTACAAACAGTCAAACACAACACATTGTAATATAAGAAGCATTAACAAGATAATTAAAACAACGTCGTCAAACAAACAACATTACAACTAAACACAAGAAATTAGCTACTACCTAGCCATCATCACATGACCATAATCAAATCAAATCAAATGCAATGCACATTGTAATATAAGAAGCATTGACAAGATAATTAAGACCCATCATAAGATAAAACACAACACCACCCCCTTCACGATCATCATCGTTGGAACAATCCATAGAAGAAGAAAAAATAAAAAGAAGCTTTGGGGAAAATGGGAAACTAATTGATGAATCCTCCAAAATCAAAACAAAAACCAGAAGGAAAACAATTGACAAATTCCTCTTCTTCTACCACAAAGAGAGAGAGCAAATTAGAGAAAAGAAAGAGAGAGAGAGAGAGAGGGTGCTACTTAGCTACATGAATAAACCTTTGCTCCTTTTTCTGTTGTTTTATCGGGTCCCTCGAATCTTGTCCTTCAAAAGTCTGGGCAATCCAACGAGCAGGAGCGAGAGCGAGAGCGAGAAAGAGCTAACCGTCGGTGCAATCTCGACTAGTAAGGAGGACGTCCCCCGCCGCCACCACCACCGTTGCCGCCGCCCCAGTAGGCGTCGGCGGGCAACTGGATGGAATTGAGTAGGTTGGGAGGCAGCCCGTGAAACATCGGAGCTCCACTCGGGTCACCCGACCCGGCCCCACCCATAACCTGCTGCTGCTGTTGTTGCTGCTGAGGTGGCACGGCGGACCCCACACCTCCGCCGGGCGATCCAATCGGAGCAGGCTGCCCCGCCATCCCCGGATCCTCGTCCTCGAGCGGCAGCCGCTCGTACGCGGCATTGCTAAACGACGCCGCCATGATCACCACGGGTCCCGACGCGGTCAGCGTCCCCACCACGCTCCCGCCCACGACCTGCCCCTGCCCTCCGGCCAGGTAGATCGTCAGCCCGGTCGCCGCGGGGGGAGCGGGCGGCGGCAGGAAGGATCCGGCGAGGGAGAGGATCTCGAAGCGGCCGTGGAGGGTGACGACGGCGCCGGGGGAGGCCGGCTGGCGGAGGGTGACGTTGGTGACGGTGCCGGTCCCGCTCATGATGCAGACCCCACGCTGGCGGCGGCGGGCGAAGGTGGCGACGGACTCGACGACGTCGCAGCCGTCGGCGACCTCCATGAGGTGGGTCCGGAGGGCGTTGGCGCTGTCGCGGGTGATGATGATGGGGGGCTTGGGCTTGTTCTTGGAGCCCGCGGGGCGGCCGCGGGGGCGGCGGGTGATCTCGCCGCCCTCTCCGCCGGCGGCTGAGGCGGCCATGAGGTCCCTGCTGGAGGAGTCGTTGGGGTTGGAGTTGTGGGAGTTGTCGTCTCGGTCACGCTTGTGGGACTTGAGGCCGCTGCTGCTGCCGCTCTGCTCGTCCTCTGAATTCTGCTGGTGTTGCTGCTGGTGTTGGTGTTGTTGTTGTTGGTGGTGGTGTTGGGAGAATTGGTGGTGGAGCTGGAAGTCTCTGGTGTGGAACGGCGGTGGCAGGGAATTATGGCCGTGGGCCGTTACCGGATCCATTCTTTGCTCTTCTCTTCTCTTTCGCTGGAAATTACTGATTTGGGTTTTCCTTTCCCTAGCTAAAGAGAGGTGCTTTTGGGGTGGAAATGGGAAAGTGGGGGGAGGGCCGGCATCTAATTGGTTGTTGGGTTGGATCTTGAGCTCAAACAAGTTATGGAGCAGGGAATTGTGGGTTGAATAATGGATGATGATGGGTGGATTCAGGGATTTGGAGCTCAAGATGGAGGAGGGAGGTAGCTAGCTGAGGAACTTGGAGGAGGAGGAGGAAGAGATGGGTTTGGTGGTAGCTAGAAGTGGGGAGCCATGGAGGAGTAGAGGTTTTGTTGGTGAGGGATCATGGTATCATGCTTTTAGAGAGTGAGGGGGATGTGTTGGTGAGAGTTCAGAGAGGAGTACAAGGAGAAGCAGAAGAAAGCTTAGGAGGAGAAGGGGAGAGAGAGGGATGGGAGGGCTTTATTATTATTATTATTATTATGGGTTGGGAAATGGTTTAGGGGTTGGTGGGTGGAAGAGAGAAGAGGTTTTAGGGTTGGATTTTGGATCCAAAGATGATGGGTTTGGGTTTTTGGTTAGGAAGGGAAAAAGGAAGACTGCGTGCTTATGACCTTATGGGCGGTGGAATGGAAGGGGTGTCCCTCTCCAATCATCTCTCTCTCTTCATCTTTCTCTTTCACTCTCCTCCGGCGCTCCACGTTCACCTTTCTCTTTCCATTTTCTCATGGCAATACCATCCCATGGCTACTTGCCAAAATTTATTACAAGGAGATTGATAATTGACCAACAGATTTGTAATATAGCGATATCATAACACTATACAAGTACAATATAGCGGCTGTGAATGCATTCGAGTCTTAACAGAGATTCATAGTAATTTTGGTAGATAGATTCAAAGCATGGTGAGTTTCGTTTTCGTATGTTGTTATCACGCTATGACACAACTTCTAACAATGGCCAAGTGTAATCAATGAAAGGGACTGCAGTATAGTGGCTCAAGTAATAACTATCGAATCCACGGGTCTCTAGAGTTACTATTACTCAGCTTCAGTTCATTATCTAGCAAACCAGATTAAGATGGAAGAACTAAACTACTCTAACAAATTACAGTTAAAGTTAATCTAATTATAGGTTGGGAACTCACTTAGGTATGATTCCCCCTAGCCACTAGCCAGATTAACGATTGATGATCTCTAACTTGTTTCACTTTCATTCACAATGTGGAGAATCCTTGACTAGACCTTGAATCTCGACTAAAGGATCAACGCCCTCTTGAGTTGATTGCCTAGAGGGACGTATCCTTCTCAAGAACAACCGATCAAGGCATTCTAAACTAGACTCCCTCTATCGAATGAGGTTCTCAATCGATACAAAGCATTGAATCGACCCTCGACTAAAGCAATCGATCCAATACTATCAATCTATGGTGCTCTATTGACCTAATCAGGTATTCGTTCTCATAGGATCAAAGTAGAATCAATAATCTCGACTAAAGCGGAATTGAATCATGAAAACATGCATAGATTGAATATGAACTCAAGATTATCAAGTAAGAGTACTCATACAATCATCCAATCAAAACAAACATGGCTAGGGTTCCTCAAAACATAAGTGAAGGGAAGTTACTCCATAGAGAAGAGAGAGACTGCAGTAAGAATCTTCAGATGATCAGTCTTCAAGTCCGAGCTTGTTCCTCGAGCTTCCAAGGCAAAGAAATCCTCCAATTCCACTCCAAAGATGCCCTCAAATCGCCCTCTCTCTCTTTGGTTAGTCCCTTGGGTATTTGGGATCCAAAATCAAGCTCTCTCCTCCAAAAACGCTCAAAACAGGCTTTTAACAGCCTGCGTTCGCGAAACTCGGTCCAAATACCTGGTCGGGTATTTCAGGTGCCCTGCCGGGTATTTCAAAACGCTGCGCAGTGGAATAAGGGATAATACCCGATCGAGGTCCAGAATACCCGATCGGGTATTTTAGCTCCACGGCCGGGACCCCTTCTGGGATTCTAGCGTCCAAAACGTCTTTACCCGGTCGGGTATTTCGAGTGTCGACCGGGTATGTTTGTTCTCCATCGCCCTTCACTCAAACTTCCTCCTTGTGGCCCGAAACTTGTTTCCTTGCCTCCACGTCAACGCCAAGTCCTGAAATATGACATAAACGCACAACCTAGCATGAAATCGGCTTAAAACACGAGAATCGACTCTCAAACGGCTCAAGAATGGAAGCATAAACATGTACAATTAATCGTCTATCAGTATTGTTGAGACATTAGCCTAAGGAGAAAGCAATTTCCATTCAGAGTGAACTAATGAGTGGAGTGACGTGTCATCGCTACTAATTGAGTGCTAGAAAGTAGTCGTCATGTCTGTAGGGCAGAAAAACGATGTCGTTTGGTCCAAATCAAGTCATATCTATGGTTTATGATCCAGATCGAGGAGTTGGAGCATAGACCAAGAACCATATTTGTGGTATTGTCTTAACCAGGAAGACCATATTGAATAAAAAAATGAACAATTTGTTTAGTTAACCACAAGCAAACTAATTAATAACCGATGAAATTTATTTTACCATAAAATGTTAATTCTAACATGAATGTAGAATTTTGATACCTTAAATCTAAGTAAATAACAAACTCACAAAATTGGAACAACCCAACTAGTTGTTGGGAGAAGGTTCTGCTGGATTCTGTACCACTCTCAATATTGGGATCAATTGGTTTATGAGGTCCTTGAGATCACGTGTTCAAGTCCTCACGACCCACAATATTAACCATTGTCTTCAAGCACATGGTATGGCGGGCTTGTGCAAACTTCAAGCTCATGAGTCGGATTTCGTTTGAGGGACCGTGTAAGGAAGTGGTTAGTACCATATATGAACCTCTCCCAACAACTCGAGTTATTTGGACCAGTTGGTTTATGACACTAGCACCATTATGTCATAAACATTAACATAACATAATATAATATAAAGACACAATCGTCTCTACTATCTGGTTGGGTGTGGTTTGTGATCAATTGAAGAAGGGATATGATTCACAAAATTAGGAATGAGAGACGGCCTCGTTGGAGAGAGGGAAGAGTGGTCAAGTGACTGCTAACACGAATTGAAAAGTGAGTTGAGTCCACAATTTGGACTAGATCAAATCAAGAGATAAAAACATATTTCAATACATACCATTAACCAAACTAGACAATTTTTTTTTGTTTGCTAATAGTGAAATATATATTTAATGAAAACATTAGCTAATGCATACGCCAAACCTAAACTAAGGCCAAAGTGCCTCCTAATAAAACTACAACTCAAATAGTAATATACTATGCATGTACACACATTCTCCTCTGTGTTCATAATAAACAACAAAACCTTATTTTCAAATACTTTTCTCTCTCAATTTTCTCATAAATTGTCTAGCCACGCTTAGGGGTGGGCATCGGTCGATTCGGTCCAAGACCGGACCAAACTATCCTCGGGCCAGACCAAATTTTTTTCTAAATCCAGGACCAAAGTCGAATCGTTATTACTTCGATTCGGTCCAGATCAAACCATATATGGCTCGATTCGGTTTGGACCATCCCATTGGACCGACTAATCTTTCATTCAAATAAAATCACCCTTAAAGGACAACACAAGAATTAAAAAAAAATGTAACTACATAAAAAGAAGTAATCAAATTATCCCAATTTAAATACTCCACAATTCTTAAAACCCACATGTTCCAAAATATTATGCAAAAAGCTAAACGATAACTACTTAACTAAAAGACAAAAGTCTTTTTATTCAATCTCAAAGTAGTCTAACTAATTGTCTCTCTAATCTTCATTTCCAGATTGCACATTGGACCTCCCAATCTCCATAATTTCCACGGTTCATTAGAAAGGAGTTTAACAAAAATGATACTTACTCCAAGAACTAGTGCAATAAAACAAATGATTCTTAAACTTGCTAATTTGCAATGGTGTTGTTAGACTTGACAGAAGCATTTATGGTGTCATTTATTCGCATCGTCTCCATATCTGAAACATTAAACAAGAAAAGAGAACAAAAAATAATTACCTAGTTCACAGTGTGTAGGTAAAGTAAGTAGCTCTCTTGATTAAAGCAACGCGGACGAGAACTCTGATTTGAGGGTAGGACTATAGGAGCGGCGAGCCAAAGTCAGGAAAAGTCAATCATATTTATAGGTAATTAAGTGGCATGTAGGGTACTATGATTTTCAACTCCAAATCAACTTTCCTTCTCATAACCTAATAAAATAGGCAATTAATTTAATTACAATTCGGTCCGATCCTTGGCTTGATTTTACGGTTTCGGTGTGGACCGAACCAAAACCGAAAATGTCCCAAATTCAGGAACCAAAGTCGAATAGAAAGATAAACAATTCGATCCAATTTAGTATGAGAATCGATTCGGTCCGATGTGAATCGAATCGTTACCTACCCCTAACCACGCTACTTAAAGAATTCTCCTCAAGTAAAGTATATCATATTTTTCTCTTTCATTTTTCTCATGAACTCTATTTGCAGTAAAAGAGGAGTGCTAGGCTACCTCCCCTTGTTTGTTGTTACTGCAGATATGCTGATTTTGGCATCTGTCTCTTATTCTCTATTAGTTCAGCGTTTCTATCTCTATGTTTCTCTTTTGGGTAAATTGCAAGTTTGGTCACTCGAATTGGTACTTTATTTTATTACTGGTCACTGAGATTAGTTCATGAGTTCAGGAGTGCTAGGCTACCTCCCCTTGTTTGTTGTTACTGCAGATATGCTGATTTTGGCATCTGTCTCTTATTCTCTATTAGTTCAGCGTTTCTATCTCTATGTTTCTCTTTTGGGTAAATTGCAAGTTTGGTCACTCGAAATTAGTACTTTATTTTATTACTGCAGATATGCTGATTTTGGCATCTGTCTCTTATTCTCTATTAGTTCAGCGTTTCTATCTCTATGTTTCTCTTTTGGGTAAATTGCAAGTTTGGTCACTCGAATTGGTACTTTATTTTATTACTGGTCACTGAG